CGTCCGTACCAAGTAAAGCAGCGTAGAAACTTACCGGGAACCGAGTCCACCTGCATCCGTACCCAGACTTACCCGCCGACCGACTGGCTCGTTCACTCTGTGTTCGAGGCGTTTTTCCCAGACAGGGGAATTCCGAATAAATAACTTCCCGATTTGCCAGTCATAAGGAAACTGAAATAGATTTAGGATTTACGGGAAGAGCCGAGACTGGATTCCACTTGAGAAAAGTTTTAGTTTTCTTTTTCCCAGTAACAGGTTAGAAGGGCTCCGTTCAGAGGATTGTGGCATTATTGGATTGTATAGCTATTTGAGTCAGTCAAAGTGCAGAAATGTCCCATGACTCATTGTTGAATCTTTAACTGTGCAGTATATTAAAAATATAGACCTATGAATTGGGTGTTATCTTCCTATTATGTTAAACTAGGCTAATCTATCAGATTTATTAAGTGGGGAAAAAAAAAAAGATTCCCCTTAAAATGTAACCTATGTTTAATGTGCTAACCTATTAAATCTAAATACCTTGTGCAAGTACACCGTTTAAAAATAATGCCACTCACTTTCCATGACTGTGTACACATTTCAATATTGACACTTCTGTGGTCTGATGGTTTTGTCTCAGGACTTCAACTGTTTTATCTGGTTGTGATGTTTAGAAGGTATTTTTATTGGTTTTTATGGTGCAAAGGGGGTGATTAGTTTGAGATGCAGCTAGACACTAAAATGATCATCAGGGTTTCATGACTTAATGAAACTGATTTCCCTTTAGTTGTGTGACTGCTTCAGAGGTACAATCCCCGAAACCTCGTGGGAACAGAAACAAAGCTGTTCTAAATTAAATGGATGTTGAGGATTATAAAGATTTCTTGGATTAAAAAAAATGTTAGACTCTACATGCACATGTGGTTTGAAGTATTTGTTTGAACTCTCCATCCCTCCCAATCTTTATCTCTCACACTGGGACTATAAACTCTCAGCCTCTTCTGTGCACCAGTCTCCTCGCTCTCCTCGCTCTTCTGCTTCTACCTCCAGCTCTGTCCTGTGACAGCCAAAGGCCTCCCAAAGAAGTTAGTGACGACTATATGGCGATCCTGCAAACTCATCTCACCAACACAGTGAGTAAAACACCAATTGAAATACTTAGCTATCCAGCTGCTATTGCATCTTCAAGTTTACATCTAAAGGGATTAATCCTAGTCCTCAAGAACAGAATAGATATACAATAGGTTGGGGACTTTTTCCGGATTTGCACGTCTATATTGGACACATGTGAAAGCCATGACCATTTAATCATTTCTTTATTGAAATCTAATCTTTTGAGGAGTGAATGAAATACTGTAAAAAGAATCAGGCAAGTTAGAACAACTCTTTCAAATGTGCTGATACACTGGAAATACACATAGCTCTTAAGAAGCTGCAACCGCATAAAAGGTGTTAGATGTTATCAAGTTTTTGATCTGTATCTGTAAATCAAGTTTCCATTTTCATCTTTTACTTTTCCTTTTAATGTCATTTTACCTGCTACGAGAGAAGTAGTCAGTTGTACAAAAAAAACCCAAAGGAAACAAGCTGCTTCTGCAAATAAATGAAGTGGGGAAAAGATTTACAAAGTGATCAATAACAATATATATGCCTGTCTCATCAAGTAGCATTTTTTTTTCTTTTACCAATATTGACCATTGTCATCCTGTCTTTCATTCATTATAGACGGAATACATTACATCCTTGCAACAAAACTTAACCTGCCTAGAACTGAAAAACAAGCCACAAAGCTGCATATCACAAAATGAGGTGAGTAACACTTGTTTTTTTTTTTATTAAGATTTATTTTTGGACTTTTTGTGCGTTTATTTGAGAGATAGGACAGTGGATAGAGTCGGAAAATCAGGAAGAGAGAGAGAGTGGGGGAATGACATGAGGGAAAGAAGCCACAGGTCGGATTTGAACCTTGGAAGATGACAGCCTCCATACATGGGGCGGGCGCACTAACCACTGCTCCACCAGCGCCCCAGTTTTGATTTATTTATATATTATTCTTTCATTTTATGTGGTGATATGTTTGGTTGCTTAGTTTATTGTTGCAGAAATATTTTATTTAGAGATTCATGAAAAGATCATTCAAGAATTCAGATATCAATCTCATTCGACATCCTTTGTGGTGGTGATGCTGATAGCAGCCGAAAAAGTGATACCCACCCATCATTAAGCCAAATACTTTGAGCACTCTTCAATGTTGTATTGCTGTTCTAGTGCTTATCGCAACTGTTATCCAAGCCTAGGTATAATGTGAGTGAAATGTTGCAGGGACTCATATCTCTCTGTTCTGCAGGATGTTGTGAGCGTCTTGCACACCCTGAACTGCGAAATGATAAAAGTAAGGCTTCCCGAAGCAAAGCGACTGACCCAACTGGTCCAACGATCAATACGGTGCAGTTGCAAGAAGACGGTAGGTCCAAGCATTTTTAATATCCTTGATGTGAATTGATGACGAATACAGTTTATTGTAGCATGTTTGGAAGGGGCAGCAGCAAGGTGACAATTTTCTTTCGGTTTCTCTGGGCGAGATTAAAGAAGACAGAGGAATGTTAGCAGACTGTTCTGTTTTCTTTTACCACATAATGGGTGACTCACTGACAGTTACATAGTCGGTCGGCTATGTGAGTGTAACCAAATATGAGCTGATTTGTTTCTCACACAAGTTGAATTTGTAACAAGCAAACACAAGCTACAGGTGTGGATTTGGGGGAAGAAATGGATATTCATTTTTAAATTATTAGTGAACTAATGTGGATAGAACACTTCAAAAAGAGATGAACATTTCATTTGAACTAAATATGTCTCCGCTTGCAATGTCAGCCAAAGTTGTTTTGGGTGTACACACTATAATGATATGAATTAAATGATCATGTTGTTTTAAAGTTCAGAAGTGTATGCTTCCTTTATACCTGCCTTTGCTGCATAAATAAAAAAAAAGTAGGATTTCATTTAGTAATGAAATACATCATTTTAAAGGTGCACTATGTAGTTTTGGTAGAGAAATGTGAAAGTTGGAGAAATGTACAGATTCTGTGATATATGCTCATAACTCTATACTCAAACTGTCCTCAGAGAAAAATTTGGTCCCTGTAACACTGTTTGGAGATAAAATGATACATGGGAAGTTATGGTGGGGGGCCCGCAACAGTGAAACCGTAACTCTTCTGGTAGCATTTTAGCTCCAAACAGTGTGCCTTTTGATGAAGTTTATGTATTTATTCCAGAAAATATAGCATAGAAATGTTTCCCTTCTCCAACTTTAAAATTTCACTACCAAATCTACACAGTGCACCTTTAAGAGTCTGCAGGATCAGAATGAGTTTTGATTGAACAGACACATATTTGATGTCTGAGTCATGCAGTGAAGCAAACAAGGGCCTTCATTTCGCCTCACACCTTGCTGTAGCAGCACAGGTTTGATACAGTGACTCACAAGGTGATATGTTAGTTTCCGAATGTTTGGTTGCCTCTTGCTGGCTTTTGATCGAACATACTGCACTTTGATCAAGCTCCATATTGTCAGACTGATTTGCTGTGATAACACAGTGTCATTAAAAGTCAGACTTAAGTTTTGTCATGCATAGCCTGTGTTGACTTCATAATGACACAGGACTCATTAGTCACCAGTACATTGTGTTTGCATGTCACCTTCTCTTGACTAGACTGAACCACCAGTCGGGGCACTGAAGAGGAAGAGGAAAGCGACAAGACAAACGAGTGAGGATAAAAAAAAAAACAAGAGGGAGAAAAAACTTTGCAAGGCCATGGAAATCCTGTCTAACATGACAGAATGCTACCAGATGCTGAATGCTTTACTGGCATCCTGAGGCAAAACTCCAGCTTATAGTAAGCAAAGAACCAGCACAGCCTTATTTTCTTCCTCAATCATGTAGTCCTTCATTGGATCACGTGAGATGAAGCTTCCACTTCAATTTAAGCTATCCTGTCGAGTTCCAGTGTATCTCTCCTGTTTTGGGTGTTGTATGACTATTGATTCTGAGAAGAATTCCAAGCGATCCAGGCACAAGCTATCAAACCAACTGGAAAAGAAAGTCCGAGGGGCCAGTAAAAAATAATTAAAAAATGGGGAAGCACATATTCGACCCACTATTATGTGGAAAGTTCAAGAATTTCTTATAGACTCTATAAAGTCAGCATGAGGCTCAGCACATACTGAAAACTTGGATGGCCAAGTGTTTTCTTTATATAAACTATATATTTTTGTATTTCTAAAGATTTAAAGCTACATGCTGCGTTCAGGGTTCCCTTAAAGCAATGTGTTTGGAAAGAATATGCTATGATTTTTCCATGCACTAAAGAGAGTATGACGGGGCATATTAAGGTGCTCTACTAGTTTTACTTTCACTTTTGGAGTAGAACGGCTAGCACTGACATGTCTTTATCTTAGTTATCTAAAGCTCCTTTTTTTTATATTTTTGTATCCAGGGAAGTTGTTTTTGGCTGTGTGTCAAGTGGTTTGTTTTCTCTTTGACTCTGATAAGTCAGTGAGTAAGATTGATATTTCAAAAGCACATCCTGCCACAATTGGCTGAGTGTAAGTCTCTCCCTTTTGGCCCGGGATTCATGGGAAGTATTTTTCCGTCACATTTGGATGGAGCTTTGATTAATGACTCCTTTCAACTGCCTTATTAAAAAAAAAAATATTAAAGGCAGGTTGAAATCCTAAGTTACTGTCCCCTTCATTCTCCCTGCTGCCATATTCAGTGCTTATGGCCATTTTGATTTCCAGTCAGGGTAAACACAATGCATTAACATGTAGCTAAATCTTCTGTTTGTTTTAAGCCACAAAATGAAACTATTACTGTATGGGACCCAAATATATTTATATCTCAAACTGCATAAAGCCTTGTGTATTGATTTGTAGTTATGACCCTCTTACTCCACTGGTTTCAAAAACTAATGTTTTATACCTCTTCCCTTGAGCAGAAACTCTCACAACAACATCATTTTTCTTCTTAGAAATTTATTGAAAACAAATATATATGGCATTAAATGCACAACCGTATCCTGCCTCACAACTGTCACCAACAAGTAAGCACACATTTGATATCTTGTCATGTTACGTACATTTAGCTTGCTTCTTGTGACTTGAAATGAATTCCTTTTCTTCCCAAAGGGATCAAAGATTATAATAATTAATCTCTGAATAGTTTTGTGGTTAATGAAGGATAAATACACACCTGGAGCAGAGGCTTTTCCCTCTTAGTGTATCTAACAACTGTATGATGTTTGTCATATCAAGCAGAGAAATAAACCAAACCTGTACAGAGCATTTAAAATGACTAGTGTTAATTCACTATTGACTAGCTAAATGAAATGAATACTGACTTAAGAGAAACACTGTCAAGGAAAAGCAACTGCAAACACATTCAGGTGCATTTAGGTTTCATTCAAATCCAAATAAAAACACATTTCAACTCATCAACAAAAAAAAAAGGTGCAGTCATTGTTCATCAGTAAAAATGAAAGTGTATAAGAAAATAAATAGTAGAAAAAGTAGGACTAAAACTGTCGGATTAAATACTACAAATATCTGGAAAGGTCAGGCTTATGATTGTAATGAGATTACTGGAAACAAACCTTGTCTGGAAAGTGACCTAAGAGGGAGCTATGAAAGCTTGTTCATTGGACTTGTCCCTGACAAAACATTACAATATCTTTCCAAAATTTCAGTTTTTTTCAGTAGTCAATGACATTGCACTTTAAGAGTCTACTCTGTATTCTGAGGAGGCATAGGAAACAGGGGCTAAGGAACTGACTTTCAGGTCAGGGTTGACTGGAATTGAATTGTAGGGGCATTCACACTCACCTCTAAAGAGTCATTAACACTTTGTCTTTACTTCTTTTTTACATTTTAGAACCCACATCTTAGCTTTTTTCTACTCTGACTCATCTCTTGTCCAACCTCTTCTAAAGACGCACTACTGGCTTCAAATTGTTTAAATATATTTCAGATTCTTTAGGTCGTTAATCTTGTACATTTTGTCCACTGATGGACAAAATGTGCATTGTTGAGGGCGTATCCAACAATTGGAAGGATGCTTATTAAAACCTAATGAGCTGTGTTTGTTCTTTATGTGTCAATCATTTCACATACTATCATGAACCTGACCCGTACGTTACTTTTTTCCTGATAAGCTCATGTCAGAATTCCACCTGCATACAGTCAAAAATCCTTATTAGCAATATGCAAAATATAGTGCAGAGTAGGGTGGTTACAGTTTAAAGATCGTAAAAGTTATACTTTTTAGTACACACCTAAAGTACAAGTTTATGGGATAAGTGTGTTGACCAGCAAATTCCATGACTAACCAGCGATTACGAAAGAAAATTCACAGCCTCATATGATCAATTTACTGCTACGAAATTAGAGTCAAGCATGAAAATACAGACCGACAGGAACTTTTCAATTCATCATAGGTTTGGTGAAACTGATTCTAGTTTGAGTACCGGTGCGTTCATGTGATTTACTTTTTCCTAAGCTCCTTCAAAGACACATCCTCTTGACACCACACTCGCAGCAGAATTTGGCAGACTCAACAGGAAATCTGGTCCCACAAGCATGACAGAACTTGCTCTTCATCCCACCGTTTGCAATGTCATTACTGCCATCGACATCATTCCTGAGAAAGGTAACAAAGTTGACCAAGTAGCAATGTTGGAATCTTCAAACTTTGAATCAGACTACAGACATTTTATAGCAGGTCTGGTGAAACTGTACTTACTTTTAGGATTATCATATAATAAGTTTGTTTAAGATACTCTTGGACATCAGCTAAAAGTATTAAGTGACTCAAATAAGTCAATGTAGTTAACAGAATGTTTTAGTGTCAGACTGATGGAGAAATGCATAGACTCTCCTGCATTGATTTATGGTGATAGCACATCATGCATTTTAGCTTCATTTTAATTGAACTGTCATAATAAAAGTGTAATATTAAAAATTATGCAAACTGTGACGTTTCTTTTTCTAAGTTACTGTTCTGAGTGTGCTCATAAGAATGGTTACAACTAAGGAACCCTGAAAAAAATTGAATCATTTGAATTATCAGAATTTTCATTATAATTCTATTTTCAAGTCAAACTAATGGATCTATTTTGTGGTGTAATTATGTTAGCATGCATTACTTATAGAGCAAAGCAGGTTATTGAGTACAGAGTTCTCGTGTGAGCTGTGTGCAGTTCACTAACAAACCACAAGAGGGCAGGATAGTAAGAGCATGTACAGTATTGTATCATGGTGCATCTTTGCATCACTTCTTTGCAGCAAATGTTTCTGTGAACTCACCTTGATATGTATGTGTCTACTTTCTTCTTGTTGGGTGCAGTCCCAGACGGCGAGTTCCTCACAGGACCGTAGCCAGAGCCCACTCCTCTGGTCTTACCTCCCACACTGAGAGGAAAAAGTAAACATTAGAGAAGAATGACAAAGATGAAAACACTTCTGATTCCATTAATGAAGTTAAAGATGTTGTATTAATACATATAGTTTAACTCACTAATGAATAAAACAATGTTTTTGTTTGACATTTAATCATTCTTCAGTCGCAGAAAGGGTTAAACTTTGCTCAATAACATTTTGAGTAAAAAGCAAAAGTACCCGATGCATCCTGTGCTGTGTGTGTGCGTGTGTGTGTATGTGTGTGTACTGACCCTGATGGAGGGGTTGCGCAACCAGAGGGGTTATTCCTCACTATACCTGCAGACGTGGTCCTACTAGATGGGATTCCTAAAGCAACAGAGATGGAGAAAAATACAACTACAAATGCAAAAGAGACACATTTTTACACGCAGAAAAGTCTGCTGTGAATTAAAAAAAAAAAACAGTGAGGCGACATCAACACAGCTGTGCCGTTACCAGAGGGCTGGCCAAGGCCTGATCTCTGGGGTAAACGAGAGGAGGCCGAAGGGATGGTCGACACAGCAGGAGAGTTCATCTTCTTTACTAAAGCAGGAGGCTTGGACTGGACAAAGACACAGGCAAAAGTAAAGGTTAGAAAATACTAGCTGTGGAGGCTAAGGGATGTGAAGCTTCAAGACAGTTGCTGTACTAGGAGACAAAGAAATAGGAATATAACACATATGTCATGTATCATACTGTAGCCTTCTAAACTTCCTTACAGAGGGCAGACTACACATGGACTGGGGTTGGTAGTTGATGTGTTAATTTTAGACATGCCTTGTTTTAAATGTACACATATTTGCACCCATTTGTTTTCGAAAACAGGTATAAATAAAATAAACTATAATCGATTTAAGCTGCCAATATATAAAAAACTTAAAGAGGTCATACTAGGATAGGATAGGATAATACTTTATTGATCCCCAGAGGGGAAATTCGGGCGTTACAGCAGCACAGACAAGAAAGCTCAAATACACATTAAACAGAACAGATAAATTAAAATTAAAATTAAAATTAAAAACGGGGTATATACAGTACAAAAATGAATGTTGAAGTTAACTGGGGGGAATTGAGAATTGAGACAGTATTTGAAGAGAATGACAAGATAAAGTGACAAGTGATGATTAAAGTGACTTGGTATGATAAATAAATAGCAGCAGGTAATGTAAACAGCAGAGAAGAGAGGCAGTGTTGTACCACAGTAATGCAGAGTGCAGTTATATAATATAATGTAGTATACTATAATATAATATAGCGCAATATGAACAATATAGTGTAATATAATTAAATGTTATATAATATAGACTAGTATAATAATATAATAAAAAATATATAGAATGTATAGTATATATGTATATAGATATATTGACCTAAGTAATAATAATAATAATACAATAATACAATGATAATAATGAAGCATTTCATGTGGGTAGTGTTTTATGGGGGTGAAGTTTAGTGTCAAGGATGGACTGTTATTGTTGTCATATTATGCCCTTTTTGGGGTTCATATATTTAATCTATGTACCTACTAACATATGTTCACAATAGCTAAAGTTCTAAAAAAGTGTCTGTTTTCATGAACTGCCGCTCCATGCACCGGCTCGCTTCTGACTCTCTCTCTAAGGCTCTGAAGTGCCCACGTTCAGAGCCCCCACGTGTGCCAAGTCTGATCTGATTGGTTGGCCTGTCGGCTCTGCCGTAATTGGTCAGTTGCTCAGCACGGTTCTCGGAAATGTCACGCCCCTTTTACCATATTGGGAATGCAGCCTCTTCTTGCTCCGAGGGGAGCATAAACATTAGCGCCTTAGCACTACTGCAGGCTACGGCATATCGTGGGCGTGCTACAGAAGTTAATGGGCGTGCAACATGAGCTGCAGGGCTTGCCACAACGAGCCAATGGGCTTAGATCAGTGATATCACACTGACAAGATGTCACACTGGCAAAAAATGTTCGAGGGGGGCTAGAACCGAGCGTTACATGCAGCTGACGCTGCAGCTAACGCTGAGGAGGTAGGAGAAGCTGCGTTTATGCGGACTTTGAATTTTTGCAAATAGATGTGCCTAAACATGCACAGGACACTTGGAAAACACACTAAAGAGCATATAAAACCAGAAAAAGCATAATATGACCTGTTTAAAGAGACGGACAGATCCTTAAGAAATGTAATACATTTACTTGAGCATTGCACACTGGGTAACTAAAGTGACATAATGATCAATGGCGGTTTGTTACTGGCTGCCAATTGAAACTCTCCAATCTTGTGCCACAGCTGTTGCTAAGTGACAGTGTTAATTCTACAGCTGCTACATAGTGGGTGTTTCACAGCAGTGAAAAACAGGCTAGGAATTGTTATGGATGATGGGACAACACCTCCAATTTATAAAGATCTGCCAATAATAAAGGATTTAAAAAATGCGTCACCAATTCTTTTGGCAGACACTGGTTGAGTAGTGATAGTCACACCCTCTCAAATCAATATTGAGCCTGGCAGTGAACAGCTTTCTTCTATTATGAGAAGTAAGCTGCAAGCAATAAATTAACTGTGTTTGCATATACTCACTCAGTGTATCATATTCTAATTTATCACTCTATCAAATGCATGCTGAATTTTTTTGTGACACAAATATTCTGTCCATTTCAACATATATTACTGTTAGTGTGTGTGTACCTCTGTGCGTGCAGGAGGCTTCTTTGCATCTCCTAACTTGCCCTTGTTTGGCATACGGGCGGCTTTCTCCTGGCAGAACTTGATGTGTCTGTCAGCTGCGCTCTCATTGAACCGCCGCTCACAGAAAGGGCACTGAACATAGTCTGAGGACAAAGAAAAAGGAGGTTAATAAACCTACCACTAATTGTTAAACCCCAGCAGAGATGTAGATAAATCCTGTATGCAGAGACACCTTTATATGTCTCTGCATACAGGATTTGACGAGTATTTAAAGACTGACTCCACATTTTGATGCAAAAACTGCAAGCCCACATTCACAACTTTTAACAAAGGTTTTCAGCTTCTACCAACTTTACTGTATCAAACACTTGTCAGTATTTACTGTTGACAACAGGCTAGAAAGGAACCATGTGCACTAGCAAGCAATCAGAGTGTCATAGCAGTGACCACTGTACTAATAGTGTGTGCTATCATTCTGTTTCATACTCTGATGCAGTCTTCTCAAAACATATTGTTACCTGGGTCATAAGTAGGAGGAGGAGGTGGGGGTAATGGCCCCCCATCTTTCATAGCCTGAGTGATGTTCTTTGCAGCCCGGATGGTAGCTATGAAGTCCTCATGTTTCTTGCGCCAATTGGATGGCTTCTTAGGGGGTTCTGCCTGGCATGGGGCGAAACAGAGGACACGCTCTGTAACAGACGGTTTATTAACTCAACCTAGACAGCTAGAGCTGTGGTCATGGTTAACCTCATCACTGCCATCTCATAAGCTGTCGTTAATTAAACTGAAGGTCTCCTATGAAGCGATGACAGATAACTGGACTTTAAAAATAAGACTTTTGCAAAACTACTTTATCTTGTTAGCCCCTTTTTTTTTTAATAATCTTAAGAATGACAATGTTTTAAATCACAAAGATGACAAAAGGGAGTTGTAATCTCAAATTTTCTATTAATCAAAACCCTTAATTATTATTGAATTAGTCTTTTCTCTTTAGCCCTACATTTTGAAGATTGAAGCCATGGTTTGACTGAAACGGTTGTGCATTTGTCTCTCTTAGTACTGAAAGGGATTTCTATTAAAACATCCCCTTCCTTCCATAGTGGCAGCCTGTGTCTTATCTACATCTGATAATTTCTGACAGAAGTAGTTCACAGAGTGTCCTCTGAGCTGTTGCTGTGGCAACATGATAGCCCTGCTGACTTCTCATTTCCCCCTATACAGTAACACTCTACAGGTTCATTAAGCGCATTTGTTTGACAAACACTGATGACTCTGAGAGGTGATGGCAGTTCTCATTAATTCCCTATAAAAACTATAATCCCAATTCTCCAAGATCTTGACTGGAATACACTTCTGTATAGTTTTAATTTCTGACCATCCCACCAACATGTTCACAGCATGTTTCGGCTCCTTAATAAGGGGACAGTGATGTGATACAGGGAGAAACTCCAGGTGTGTCCTCTTTTTCATGCTGCAGAAGTGTTAGCAGGAGGACAAAGCATGAAGCGGCAAATAGTTGAAGCCAAGACAAGAGAAAGATTGTGTTGTTGTTGAGATGCTATAAAATGCAAAGCAAAACACTAAAAGGGACTGGCTATAAGTCATCACTTATTAAGACCTTGAGATTTCATGAAAACATGTATGACTGTAATTTGAAGGTTAGTTACATACACTTAATTATTGTCAGTTGTAGGCTGGGGGGGGGATATGAAAACTTAAGTGCTTTGTGAAGTAATACCACCACCAGTATAGAAACTCCTCCAGACTATCTAAATCCATGTTTAGTTTTTTTTTTTTTAAGATTTGATTTTGGGTTTTTGTGTCTTTATTGGAGAGATAGGACAGTAGATAGAGATGGAAATCAGGGAGAGAGAGAGAGTGGGGAATGACATGCGGGAAAGGAGCCACAGGTTGGATTTGAACCTGGGCCGCCCGCTTGGAGGACCACAGCCTCCATACATGGGCCATGCGCACAAACCACTGTGCCACCAGCGCCCCAATCAATCACACTACAGAACCGGGGGTTAATAAAGCAAGAAATAGTGAATGAATGCCTCTTGGCCTTCAGCGGACTAACGGTGCCACTAAACATCAGGTATACAGAAAGACAGGACTAATAAAAAAAGGAAAATCAACTTACTTTCTCAGTGGATGAACTGTGTGACTGAAATACAATTAAAAAGGTATTTACATTTGAAGATAAGCTCAAAATAGTGACTGTCCTCAATGGAACAGGAAAAAGTAAGACGTGAGCTATTGTTGGTGTTTTTACAGCTGATTCTCGTCTGTGTTCCAGCGATCTAGGCTGAATGTAATTGTAGATATTGTTCAAGTAAGGCAGCATAAAGAAGGGTATAAATCTGAAGGGAGATCTGCTCTCATTAGCTTTTCGGCTTAAGAATCCTTCTTCAGTTTTATAAATATTGATTGGACAGTTAAATGAAAGAGAGGTGCGTGTCATTTTAACATAGAAGTAGAAGAAAACTTTCAAACCAATGTAAAACTGTTTATTGACAACAATGTTTTGACAATGTGTGAAATTCTGAACACATTTTCAAGTGTGTTTTTTTTTTTTTTTTAACTTAGATATACAACCTTTTTCTTCTTCTTATAAAAAAATTTCTTCACTTGGATATTTGAGTTGGATTCCCATGCCCCCCTCCTATACTTTGGTCTTACCTTTGGTTTGATAGGTTTGAGTACGGAGATGTCTGTTCCCTCAGCTCTCTGTCTACTGGAGTCAAAAGTCTTCCTTCTTTTGACTACTGACTTTTGACAGATTTTAGCATGCTTCTCCTGTAGAAAGAGCAAAATATGAGCAGTGTGCACCAGCTACATCAAAGGCAACATATTTCCACATGTTTAAGAAACATTTGCCAGATCCCAACATTAAAGATCTTTAACTTTCTATTATCCTAGCTGTCATTGTGTTTCAATCGCCAGATGACATATCAATACAAAGTGCTAAGTTGTTTTCTAACATTAATGGCGGCAGGCTTTCTAATCTCCTAATGTAAAAGGAGCACACATACATACACAAATGCTCACCTGCCAACAAAATAATGCTGTTATGCATCATGCATTAATGTAGCCAATGTCAGCTAATGAGGCTGAGTGCAGAGACTAAAACAGTTATGTATGTGTTTGAATTACCAGGAAAGCACATGTTCCCTGCAGAAACAATAACAAGTACAAAATGCTTTACATAATAGTAGGTCGATTAAGTGAGTGTTGAATAGTGCAGCAATCTCATAGTAAACGCCGCCCCTTTGATAGAGCAAAGTATACCAACCCACCAAATGGTCTTTGGTATCCTTGGTAACACGCCATCACACAGAAACCATCATCTACGAACTGCACTCTTAGATTGTGACTTGATCATCAATTTTAGCACTACAACAAGTCCTTAGTCAGCATTTTAAATCATGTTATCATGTTACACATTTGCTCTAACAAATACCAATAATCCTTTGTTGAAACCTTCAATGTTAAACAGCTTCTTTTGTTTTATTGGGAACTACTGACTTTGGAAATGTAGCCGCTAGCTACTGACACATCCAAACAGCTGATATCCAGTCAGCTGATACTACTGTCAACTCAACAGACTCAGCAGTTTTTCATCACATGCTTTATGAAATGTATCAGTGATAATAGAAATTATAAAAGAAATCGCACATCAAATTTAAAATCTGACGCATTATCTCTACAATATTGCTGCTATTACAAGCCTGTAGAATTTCCTCTGACTGAAACAGTATATCAAGATAAACCCTTAATAGGGATGTATTGAAATGAAAATAAATGTTTATTTTTTACCAAGACTTTAGGGAAAAAGATCTTTGACAAATGTGGCACTGGACCAGATCCTCTGCAGGAGGAGCCTCTGCGTCTGAAGGAGAGAAAGGTTCAATTGTGATTGGAATGAAGAAAGATATGGACGATAGATGATAAAATGTACATGTTTAGAAAAACATTAGGTTTCTCATTACATTGCCATTGTTGCTACATGTCAAGGAAGTAATACAATCCAAAAGCAAAGGACCGATAAATGTCTAAATCCCCCTGACACAAATCCATTTTCTTGTATAAACTCTGACATCTTTAACGCTTTAAACAGCATTTGCGATGACACATTTTGCACCCTGATACATGGAAAGTGCACAGCCTGGTCTCAATAATACAGTTTTAAGTACTGTTGATGCAATGCCCAAACCACAAGGGTGGAAAACAGAAATCACTTTACACGGACCAGCAAGATAAACAAGGAAGAGATGAATAACTGTACAGTCATTAGAATGTCATTCAGATGTAAACCTCATCATTAATTTGCACGGTAACCATGAAACACTATTAAAAACAATTGACACCCAGCGGTTCATTCAATAATAATGCTTTTCTCACTTCATTATTTAGCATGCTAACAGCGGCTAACGATCACACCCATTCAGACAGACAGCGGCTAGCTTCATCTCTGACGTCACCTAGCAGTACTTAAGCTAAACCCCAAACAAAGGTTTGCCTGACAAAAGCTCACAGCTAAATTAGTGATAAATACACATATTACACGGTATAACAACAAGATGGATTTGAGTTCGACTTTTCCACAAAATGTTTCAATAAACACCTGGAAGGCTAAATTTACCTCACCTTCAAATTCCTCCATCCTTAGGTGAACGTTATGCTGCTGTGTCTACAACAGCCAGCAGTAACCGGAAGTAATAAAATAATACCCCACTCCTCACTTCCGTATTCGCTAATATACACAGAAGTCACAACAGAGAAGCATTTTCTTCAAGCTGTGATACTCCTAATTCAATTTTTAGTACGCAGCACAATGTGTTTCATTTGTTCTCCCCTAAACTTTCATTTCATCACGTAACTCGTGAAATCTCAGAAAATGAAAATGAAAGCCTTTGGAATATTTATCGCTGGTTTTAAAGGCTGCAATTGAAGGTGAATGATCTTGACAATACTGATCTTTGGCTACCAATAGCAACTGTGTTGTCTGCTGGTGACGCTTGGCGTGCCAATATTCAAGGTTTTCATTGGTTGTTACTGAACGATTTAGGTTAATTAAATGTATAGAGACTATTATTCTCTTTTCCCCATTAAAACCAAAATACAGAGTGGAACCAAGTCACATTAAGCCATCACATTTGACACTTGGATACTCATGATTTTACACATATCTTGGCATTTTCTGCAGAGTGGGCAATAATATTTGCTTCTGATTGTGTTACATGGTTAGTGGTGGCAAACTCAGCTTGAAAAATATTGATCTTTGACTCCCTTCCTCATATCTGACATTTAAGAGTGCCAAGACAACGAAACTGTTTTTTCTTCTTGTTTTCTTTATTGGCTCAAACACTTGCCCAGAGCACGTTGATGTTCCCACTTCCCAGTATGGCATATGTTCTTTGACTGGGTTAATTCACAGCCAGATGCTATGAGACCACAGACAACGTGTTACTGAATGGCTAGAGCCTCTCAGCACAACAGATCACTGTTCTCAAACTGAGTGTGCACCCCTCGTTTCACACACACAAACCACAGATTCACAATAACCTCACTGTCTTTTCAGCTGTCGTCTGACCTTTTAGTTTTCATAGAAAATTGTTAGAATAGAGGACGGTGTTCAACACAGACACTTAGAATATTTGTTTTACAATAATGTGTGTTTCTTAAAGTAAAATTAGTTGTTAATGATAACTGTCTATTACCTTTTGCTCAAGCATGAATTATTCATCTATTTTGTCTACTTTTGTTAATTTTATTTTGTTACCGAAAACCATGCAATTGACAATAAAAGAAAAAATCTGGATATCACGATCGCATGTGCCTACATTAGTTGTTTTGCTCTATCAATAAATATCATATCTGGATACAATTATTTGGCCAAATGTTTCTGAATAAATATAGTCTACAATCCAATGAATAAATTAGCAAGACACAATTCTCACGAGAGTTTAATTGACTAGTAAGGCAAAAAGTTAATTTCAATAACTTCTTTATTTGCTACACATACCGGGACATTACTTTGAAATTTGCAGCCGGAAGCTTGAGTTCTTTGTAACTTTAACTTGATGTTTGGTAAATCCTCTTTCTTGAGCGCAACGGGAAATACCGACGCTGCGTTCCTGCTGATATAAATATTCGGAGGCCATTTGACCCAAACAGGTACTCTGCTGTAGAAAATATTTAATGTAGGAATAGAGTTAACATGCATGGCATTTTATTTCCACGTGACATGTTATCCACGCAGGCTGTGTTTACTGGCACTGAGAGAACTCAATGGGAATCTTTTCACTAGAGAAATACATACGGCTATTTGTTTTTCAAATCAGTATTTGCAGGCTGATGCTCCTTCACCATTAATGGCTGTTGACTGTGTCAACAATGAAAGTGATTTTTAATAGAGCTCCATTGAGCACGACTGTGCTTGAAGCAACGCCTCCACTTAGACTTTAATAGGTGATAAATGTTGCTGGGCATCAATAATTAGATCAAACTTTAATACGGGTGCCATATGATCATGCTCTTATTGAAATTGCACTGAGGTGATTGTGAATGATATTATTACTCTTTTAAATGGCTGTACAGGAGTGTGTTTGTTTACAAGTCTGTGTATCTAAGAGGTAGAGAGTTGGGCTTTATTCCCACTTATGACCAGGCCACCTAGAATAACACTGGCATACATGTGAGGGACTCCAATCCTGTTCTCCCATCATCATTGCAAATATTGTGTGCAGCAGAAAACAAATCGAAAGGGTTGCTGAGCAGGAGCAGCCATGTTTTCTCTTTTCAGTGAGTGAGAGAGTGCAGAGTTGCTGGCCTGTTGTTTTATCCAGTGATTTGATCATTTGTTTGGAACCAGTGCTGGAATGATTGTTGCTCAGGCCAGCTGAGCTCAGGTTCTCATATGGGAGCAACGCCAGAGGGACAGCATGAGCATGCCTCTGCAAGAGCAGGATGCACACTGATGAGCTGCTGATGCTCTACATCATGGGTGTGTAAGGACAGTGTGACTAAATTATGTACACTGTAACATTAATATTTTAAAGATCAGAAAACACACAGCAAAGATGTTCTGTCTTTTTGAGCTATACCAAACAAACCAAATCTTAATTCCTAATGTCTACATTTACCAACAGTGACAGGTTGACTTCATGAATAAGTTATGAAACATATAAACAATGACAAAAACATTTACCCAAGTTAGCATATTGTCAGTAAGCATTAAGCTTCATTTGCTTTATGAAATTATTTTGAACCTCACTCAGGTTTTTTAAATTTGAGATATACATTTTTCAGACACAGGAAAAAAAGGTTCATCATGTTATATGTATAAGTTGGCTTAATTGATTTTGTCCATTTTTATTCAAGGGAGAGACCCATGTAGAAGCCATTTAAAGTCTGTGACATACAAGTCTTCATACTATTAAAAAACATCCGTTCTTAATCAACATAACTGACCTATCTGTTTGACTCTGATGAAACAATAACACAATGTTTTTATTCAGAACAGTCAGCTTTTGTTGAACAACCTACAACTGGACATGGCTAACATCTGTTGGGTCTTGTCCATCTTGACACCATTTTGAAAATGACAGCTGAGTGGGAACGTGCTCAGATCATGACAGAGGGGGTTTCTAAAAATAGCCATGGTCAATCACAGCTTGCTCAGCTCTTGCCACAAATGGATGTGGAAGCTTAGAGAATCTTTTTATTTTATTTAGAAAACCCACTTTGAAGACTGTCAAGCCTTATTATCATTTAAGAGTCCAGATGAACACTTGTTTTAACCCTTGTATAAGTGCATTAATTAAAAATAAAATGTATATGAACAATATGGAGTCTGATGGAATTTAATTAATTAAGTAAAAAAAAAAGCAGCTTGGAGCTGAAGGACAGCTTCAGCCAGGCAGATTGTTACAGCGTTGGAATGTCAACGGAAGGGTTTAACCTAAATCTCTGTAGCAACGCACCTCCAATCATACACCATACTCCAAGTAGGATGACCTTTAAATACAGAGTTGTCCTGGTGCCATAATTCCCCCTTTATAAATTTGCTTTTGGTTGCTGGATGGCATCAGTCAGAGAGAGCATGCATCGTGATATATGTCTGTTCCTCTGGCCAGGTGTCCTTCAGCAAACCATTGTGCCTCCTCTGCGTCTGTGGAGTCTCCTCTAACCTAGACCCCAGAGATTAAAATAGATTAAACACGGATTAGGTTATAAAATAAGAGGAGGTAGGGATTTATTCCTGAGTGCATGGCTAAACAATTGTGCCACTTTCTTTATGTCAATAAAAACTGCTGAGGCATCCTTTGCAGAGTTGCTCAGGACAGCGTGCAAGGGTCCCAAACAAATTCTGCCATTTTTCTCCCCCAAAATGGAATATGCTGGTTTATGTGTGTTTGTGTTTCAATGTGCCATTTTGTGCTTGTGTTTAGTGTGTGCTGCTGTGTGTACCAGGCCCTGCTATGGTGAGGTCTGTTAGCGATGTCGGATGTGGAGGCGACCTTTGAGGACTTCATCGCCTCTCGAAGGTCCGGCCGCAGGAATGCCATCCATGAAATACCAGACGCCCCTGGGGCACAGGGACCCGCTGACCTGTCACAGAGTCTGGCACAACTTAACATCAACAAGTCAGGTGAGAGACACCACATTCAAACAACATAGACTCATGGTAAAAACGGTGCTCGTATTGACAATTTGGGGTTTATAAAGGTGCTTAGAAGGAAAGCATGACTAAAGCGTTGAAGGATTGTAGAGTATCCTTTTTATATTCTACCACCAGAGGGTGCCAAAGCCCAAAAGTTTGTCTGCATATAATTGCTTTAAAATGAATACTTATTCAAGAAGCTGTGTAGTGTGAATATAAAATAACAGATCTCCTGCTCCAGGAGAAAAATACATTGTCAGTTTTATAATACCTTTATTTTACTAATCAGAATTAGTTTGTGATCTAATGCCTTGGGTTTTATAAATACATACTGTAAATAATCTTCCTGTTTCTAACGGCATCCTGCGCGTCAGGGGTTCAATACATATAAAATCCTCAATTTACAAATATGCGGTCCTTTGGTCTACTCTTCATAAGATGAGCTGTCATGAGTTGACTTTTCTGTGGGTCTACCTTGGTGACTTGTGTTCCTGCTTTATTCATGTTTGACTTACTCGCTGATTCAATCAACCTGTTTCGCCTCACTGCCTCTGTGTTAGTTACTTATGCATGAAGCTGACTGACTCTGTCTCCCTCTGTCCGTCAGGAGATGAAGGTGGAGACACAGAGAAGAGCCAGGACACTCCAGCTAAAGAAGAGGAGACACAAGCTGAGGGCAGCTAGGCGGCATAGGCCTGCTGACAAGTGTGGACTCCAACTACAGCTTCTTCTATCTGAGCCCTAAATGCTCGGCCTCTAGCTGGCCGGTTGCACTTAAAGACTATGAAGAGACGCAGAAGAATCCTGCACTGCCACACTCTTGCTATAAAGTAGTCATCTCTCACTTTAAGGCAAACGTGCTTCAGTTCTCGCTTTGCACCTGGATGTGTAGAAAATGTTAAAAAGCCTACTTCCCTTGCTGCCTTTCCTTCGTAGCTGCTGATATGAGATTGGATATTATGCATGATGCAGTCTGACATAAAGAACCATAACCAGCTGTTTGACTGTCATTGGTCCTAATAAGAGTAAAGGAGAGGAGGAAAACGGGCCATTAAAGGCTTTAGGGGAAGGTTTAAGTGAATTCAACTTTGTACTTTCCCTTATTCCGAAATCAATCATCCCCATGTGGCTGGGGAAAAACATGGTGTGATTGGACATCTTTTCTTCCTCTACACTTTTTGCACCATTGCCTGCAAACACACATTACTCCATCTATCAGTACACACTGTGGCTATATCCGGTCTCCCTCAATGTTTTTTTGTGTGTATATTTGTATATTCTTGATCTCAAAACTGCACTATGTGTCTTTTTTAAAGATAAACAAAACACCTTAGGGAGAGTGGTATTGTTTTTTTTGTTTTTTTTTGTATATCTTTGTCAGGCATTGTGTCTGAGACAGTCGTGGTTGGATTTGAAAGAAATATGAGTGAATCATGTTGCAGTCTAACATTTAAATACCTCATGGGTATATTTGTATATTCTTGATCTCAAATATCCGGTCTCCTCAATGTTTTTTTGTGTGTATATTTGTATATTCTTGATCTCAAAACTGCACTATGTGTCTTTTTTAAAGATAAACAAAACACCTTAGGGAGAGTGGTATTGTTTTTTTTGTTTTTTTTTGTATATCTTTGTCAGGCATTGTGTCTGAGACAGTCGTGGTTGGATTTGAAAGAAATATGAGTGAATCATGTTGCAGTCTAACATTTAAATACCTCATGGGAGTCAGGTCAAATCTGGCCCAAACAACAGATGGAATTCACCTCAGCTGAGTTCAAGCAAATGTTCACTTGCTTGTTTAGTTTCCAATTCCTCTAAAGGCAGCATGTATCTATGATATACTGTATACTAGATAATGCACACTTTCCTCCCTATACGCAGCATTTTAAATTCATTTTAATATTAGAGCAAGTCATCGATGAACTGTAAAGATTCAAAATACTGTAAGGGGTTATTCTAGGTCTTAACATGTACAATACATGGATTTGTCCCCCTGATATTAAGTATTTAAGAAGAAAATAAAAATCTGTAATTGATCTAACTCTGATTTACAGTTCGGGAACGTTTAAACTTTGTATGTGGAGATCACAAAATCCCTCTGAGGTGGACTTTGATGTCAGATGCTCAGATGGCTGCTGATACTTTTTAGAGTAAGAATTTTAAAAAATAAGTTTCCAGCCGTTCCAAACATCTTGTGTAAAACTAAATCAGGTTTGATACTTAGTAAATCAAATAGTATGATCTCATTAATTCACTGCAGCTGGTCGGGGGAGAACTCTATAGACGTTTGGTGTGGGATTGAGACGGATGCAGAAGTTGTCTTCATAGGTAGAAATATTTTTTAGTCTACTTACAGGAAGTCCATGTGGCAGCAGTTCCTGAGTATCTTTGCATACGCTGCCTTTAAGCCAATCCCACTGTGTGTGTGTGTGTGTGAGGATGTTTCTGTATCAAATGTATTTATTAAAACACTGACAGTACTTATTGCACTACCACATTGTTTTATACCGTGTTATAGTTTATTATGGTAATGAATGTGTATTTCACTGTGACGGGGATGTCTGTTAGAATGGCTTTTGATGGTTGGACAAAATACTTATAAATGCTGCATGCACTCTTCTCCAATCACTCAACATCATAAATAACTACCCCTCTAAATACTTCCATTTTGTTTTGAGACACTGCCTCCTCTTGTACCAATCTATCTAGACTCACCTTTGAACTGTTAAAAGACTTATTATTTGGGTAAGATGCCAGTTACATTTGATTAAAATGAAACACTTTAATTTGATATAGTGTGATTTAATGGAAGGCACCGTTTAACTGTACGTGAACTATGATCCCATCATCTTTTCCCCCCTCCCTCACATTGTTTTATCTACATATATAACACTGCGGTATCATTGAATTCACTGTGATTGACCTTTTTATTTGATTTTGTTGACTATTGTAGTTTTGATGTGCAATTAAATCCCAACTGTGAAAAGAAGTTTTTCTTCTGTTGACCTGATTAAAAACAGCCGTTGTCTCCCTCTAGTGGTCAACATCAGATTTGCTGTTCAGCCACTGAAAAACCACCATCATTAGAGTTTCGTGATGACTGATAAGCTTCTGTTATGCTATAGATACTGTTACATTATTATCGTGCCATGTGCTGTGATCTGTGCTCCGTGCTGAGGCTAGAAACTTTGATCAATAGCCCATGTGATGGAACGTGTCCTCGACATGTATAGACCAAAGATAAGGCCTATGTTAGGTAAGACAATATGGATTTATGATATGCAAAAGATGGTGGTAAATACATATACAAACTAGTTTACAGTAATTGCTGTCTTCTGTTAGTTTGGAAAAATGCTTCAGAAGGGTCACATTGTCCAAGTTATTGCATTACTTGTCTGTTTAACTTTTTAACATATTTAGAGTCAATAATAATATGTGCATCAAATCCTAACCCTTTTTAAAAAGTAATACCCAAGCAGGAAACGAATGCCTTTACACTGTAGATGAATGTGACGTAATCTGTCATTGGTGGGTGAATATAGACTTAAACTTAGACTTAGACTTTCTTTATTGTCATTCAACTTGTACTTTACAGTGCAGATAAGAACCAAATTTCGTTGCATTTGGCTCGTTGTAGTGCAGGATAAAAAACAGCAGCAAGTATTTACATATAAAAATAAGGTGCAGATATAAATAGATATAAAAAGAAAAGCTATGAGTAAAATTACTATACAGATAAATATATTGCACGTTATATTGTATTTTACAGTCCAGTGAGGTAGTCCTGTGTGGGGGTTTGAGGGGGAATGGAGGGATTATTTTTTCCTGTTCAAAAGTCTTATGGCCTGTGGGAAGAAGCTGTTACAGAACATGGAAGTTCTGCTTCGGAGGCTGCAGAACCTCTTTCCAGAGTCCAGCAGCGAAAACAGTCCTTGGTGGGGGTGGGAGGTGTCTCTGCTGATTTTCTGAGCCCTGGTCAGACAGCGGATCTTTGCGATCTCCTGGATGGGAGGAAGTGGAGTCTTAATGATCTTTTCCGCCGTCCTCACCACTCTCTGCAGGGACTTCCAGTCGGAGGCACTGCAGGCTCCAGACCAGACAGAGATGCAGTTTGTTATGATGCAGTTTGTTAGGATTCTGTGATGCAACGAATGCTGTATCATTAAAGGCCTCTTTAAGCAGCTACTGTGGTTACGATGATCCTCCAAACGTTGCTCTTAGAAGACCGTGTTGCAGGTATGTTGGCTTATACTGATGCCATTTCTTGTACCAGCTGATTTAATTCTGCTGATGATGCCAAACAGTCCAGTTTCTGTTCATTCTTTAATTCTGCCTCACTCCCTTTCTTCAGCCAGAGCATTTCTCCATCCATCAACTAAATGTAATCACACTCTCTTTCCTGTCCAAGTCACCTGGGTGTCCTGTTCACCTGCTGACTGAAGCCCCTTTTTGACCAAAGGAACTTTCCTTTGGAACTAGGGACCTTCCTCAAAAGGTCCCAAGGGTCTAAATCTAATTCTGGGATTAAAGATCTAACCCTCAACAACACTCTGTCTGGGGGGTATACTTTCCAAAGGTCCAGACCCCTTGGGGGGGTCGCATTTATTTATAATCAGTGTGGCTGTAACAATTAAAGGTACAAAACACGCTATAACAGACTCAGCAAGAACAAGGAAAAGAAATAGAAAAAAACAAAAACAAAAGAAAAACAGTAAGAGGTCTAATCTGGAATCAAAACCTGTAGTTTATATGTTGAGCTTTTTACATTTCAATATATTTAAGAGCTTTTTTTAAAGAAATTTTATTTTGAAATGATTCCCATAAAAACCTTGCATCTGCACAACTAAACAACATATGTTTTAAAGTTTCAATTTTATAAATCACCAAAAATACAGAAAGAAACTCATAACAGGGGTTAACATCATTTATCATCTTAGAGGGTGTTTCTTTGGTTTCCGGTGAAATGGTGGGAGTGAAGTATCCAGTTCTATTCTTCCAACATTTTCATCAGAATAATCTTTTGTTGTTTTCCTTCTTAATGAAACAGGAAAGAGTTCAGGAGTGAGAATGCCTCTTATAGTTGTGTTTTATACATTTCTTCTCCATACAATTGTAATCGTCTATATCTATACATGGTGAATTCATGCATGCCCAATATGTATGCTTTCATCTTGCCTCAACACTGCTGTTAAATGTGCTTTGAGATAGTCTGAAGATCTCTGCAGTGACTATTAAAACCTGTCTTCTTGCATTAAGGTTGAGTATTTTAAGTCTTTTGAATCCACTTTTCGACCAGAAATCATCTCCTTCCCATTGTTAATCAACAAGTCTATCTGCAATGCAATACAGCCTGATTTGCATTATCTTCCTGGGACTACAGGCAGCGGTGAGTGAAGAGTCTTGGGGCCTTTGCTAGAAGACGGGGGTTTATGACACCTCAAGACAACCTTGTTTTCACAAGATAAGTGTCACTTTGGCACACACTTTACTTTCAAACACAGCTAACCTGTTTTCAGACAAAAAAAAAAAAAACATCCTTTTTGTGGATTGAATTTCTCTGTCTCTTCAAGGTCTGGTGGAGACTTAATTAAATGTAAACCTATTTTAGATAATGATCTGTAAAGCTAGGTGATTAATCAACATAGCCTAATGGTTAAAAAAAAAAAAAAAAAAAAGAGAGATGGTGTCCAACTGTATGATCGAACTCCAGAATTCATTCAGATTTTCTAATTGAATTGAGTCTGACAATCTTCATACTGTCTAGATTTGTTTTTTTTAAATGAAAAGTTACAAGCACAAGTAAAATAACAGTGCAATACAATAATGTTGACAACATAACAGAGATACAGATATATTTATAAATATACAAGCATAAGCAAAGGTTTGATCCAAAGGAAACAAATGAATCTGCCAGTTTCTTCAAAAGCTTTCATAGAGAAATTAGTTTTTCATACAGTCGGTTTAAGCTCAAAGAGGAAAGGTAGTTTACGTTTTGCAAAGCCGTTTGAACATAACCAACTGATTTCATTGTGGGATAAAAAGCCCATGCATATCCTTGTGGAGCACGGTGCTCACGTACGCTCGAGCCACTTCTTTGAATGTTTTGCCGTCAAGCAGGAGGATGAAACTGGACTGGCCTGGGTTGCTGTTGATAACTGATGTTAAGACCACACCTGTAAAAGAAAAGACAGAAGGTCTTTGTTAGATTAAAATATCTAAGGAATCACATCAGACCTGTGTGCTGTACACACACACCAAAGTGTCCTCACCATCATCTTCAGACTCTCCATTAGGTCTGGGGATGAACACAGGCTCTGACGGCCAGCAGTTGTCCTCGCTCCATTTAAGCTTTTCCTTGGTTTCTGTGTCCAACTTCCCAACCTACAGTTAGGAATTCATAAAGGAGAAAAAAATT